ATCATTGCATAGCAGGTGAGGAAAAACTTTCTTCCACTCGAGATAGTCACTCATTCTTCTTATGTACATGGAAAAGCAGGACAGTGTACTTGCATTTCATTATGGTGTAAAAGCCACCTGTGCCTTCCCCACAGAGTTCCACAAAGAGAAGAATGACAGGATACCACCCACCACAGTACAGAAAGAAGGATGGGGCAGCTGAACATTGGAGGGACAACACTGTGGTGTTGTTTTTTTAAAGTTTGCTGCAGAGCAGGTTATAACAGACGGGCAACTAAAGCTGAAAGGAGGGGGCGCTAAACCCAAAACAAATTGAATCTAAAGTACCTGAAGGTTAAGAAAACAAAAATATACAGGCCAAATGATACTGTTGGTCATTTTAAATACTACTAACTTATACGAAAATATATGTATTTCACAGTAGATTAGAAATAGCCTCATCATTGACAAGGGGTATTTATAAAGAAGAAAACACGGTGATTTTGATCTAGTTGTAAAGAACTGTAATCAGCATGGAAGTCTCCTGTTGGGACAAGTGGAATGTCTACAGTGGGCTGCTAAATAACATTGTGAGGAAAAATGCTGTGCTGTTTTGAATGGTGGCACAAGTATCATCTGGATACAAGTAATCACTTAGGTTTTTATTAGAGGCTGGTTCAATCACACTAAATATTCCCTTGGAATCCTACAGTTGTATGGGTCTAAAGTCAGTCAGTTGATGAAAGCCTAGCCATAGTTACGATCTTCATGCCTGTTCTTCCATCTGCTTTTCTTTATTGTAGCAAGAGAATAATCTCCCTTAATTTATAATGGTACCGTTGGTTTTACTATGTATCCATAGACTACGAACCTTAAAACTACTGACCTGAAGAGAGAAGCATGTCTGCAGTGCCACCTAGGAATGGCCAAGCCTTGTTAGACCCACAGGCTTTTCCTTGCAACAGGGGAACAATGCCATTGATCCATTGGTCTGCCAGTCCTTAGCTGGAATCTAGCGAGGTCTGAAAACACTGTCGCTCCTGTTCATCCTCCTCCACTTGTCTAGCTATATTTTAAGAACACTGAGCGCCATTAATGTACCACGACTGTCTTGTGTGTGTCAGTGATTAGTGAAGCTTTCTTAGTTTGTTTTTTAAGCTAAAGTTGTACAAATTTCTTTCCTTTCCTTGCAGTGGAAATCTGACCAGATCACTTTTAAGAACCAAATGCAGTATCTCGTCCCTTCCAAATGTATGACTGTTTTTATTTATTTTGCATGCTAAAGATGCCTTTTGTTGATAATTCAGCATAGCATGTGTTAAGAACAAGCTAAGTTTTCTCAGCAAATGACTCTCAGCTACTGTGGAACCTTCTAGAATCCCTGCCCCTTTCTGAAATGTCAACAGCAAGAGGAGCATTGTTTTCCCTAAACTTTTAGCCTTTTCTAAAACTGCACTGCTTATGTAAAAGCAACTTTCATGATTTTGAGTTACATAAAAATCACACATTTCCCCTTTCCTTTCTGGGAAGGATTCCTCCAGACATTCCCACAGGAAGGGGAGGCCCCATCCTTGACCAGAGCTGACAACATGGTTTTGTGTACTATCTTGGTAGCCAGAGATGCAATTTATGGCAGAAATCACTACACTGTTCGTCTCTCCTCCACTGTGAGGTAGGTTTCCTGAATTTGTGTGACTAGCCCTAGACCAGTCAGCAGATTTCTGTGTTAAGAGTGGGGGACTCAAACCAGGGTCTCCTGGATCCTAGCCCCCACACTCTACCCACTGCACCACTCTGGCTTTCTCCGGTCAGGGCGCTACGTGCTTCAGTCTTGGTATACAAAAGTGACAACAATTTGGCTCTGATTCCTCTGTCATCTAACTGCAGCTTTATGATCCCGCTATGCGGGGAGGGCAAGGATACAAATCCAATAAAATAAAAAAATAAAATAAAAATTAGCAGACTGTGCAGAATGTTGCAGAGGTTGTGAAATTACAGAAAACAGATGTATGAAGGGATACATCATAAAACAAGTGACACATAAACACTGAAAAAGTTTAATTTTCTGCTTAGATAATAACATCCAGTTGAAAATAAAGAATTAAAAATATATTCTGTTACAGACACTGGACAGACTGATATCGTGCTATTGTACAAGGTTAAATTTCACTGCGATACTCTCGTGTTCAGATGTGTGAATGTGATACAGCACACGTCTTTAATGCAATGCTAACAAATACGTGCATCACACTGGCAAAATGTGTGAGAAGAATATAAAAGACACTTAAAAAAAAGCCATCTATAGCTTAAAATTAACTGAACTGTGTTTGTGATATTTTCAGAGTTACTAGCTGCAACTCAGAAGACTTGCGGAAGGTTTGATTCTTTTCTACGCAAATCTGCTTCTGAATATTCTGTGTTGGTGAGTTGAATGACAGAGCCACACTGATCAGAAAATACGGTAGATTTGATTAACGGTTTTCTCCCCCCCCCCCGCATATTGTACTAATAGCATTTGGAAGTGCTATTGGAAACAAAAAGGTGGTCTAGCATTGCCTGTAAGGTGCCAGTAATGGCAGATTTTCTGTGATTTCCCCCCCCTGTAGTTTCCCCCCATCCCTGTGACTAAACTACAGGTTCTCAACTTTAAAATTATTTGGCAATCTGAGTGACTGTCTGAGGCTACTACTCAACTATTCAAGAAAGGCTTGTGTGCTGTCTTCAGGATCACAGCTAGCAATACATTAATATGCCAAATGTTTGCTGCCAATGTTTCCAGTTTTCATTGTTAGAATCTTGTGCTTGTGTGACATCTGTTGGGTGGACACATGCATGCAAATGATATGTGAACTGTATCACAACTCTGACAGCTTGATCCTATATATTTGCATGAATTTATATACCTGTATCAGTGTTGTGCCATGACAAAGGGCTAGTATGATGGTTTGTACATGTTCATTAGAAGCAACTATTTAGCTGGCACAATCAATATTAGCACATGACTGCTTTTTGTAAGACAAACCTCTGCAGTTGAGTTGAATTTAAAAACTATGGGCATCATTTAAAAACATTCTAAAGTCTCAGACAGATTTCTTTATTATTTTGCAGTATTTTTTGTTCAACCTGAGTTATTAGTATACCAGTAAGCAAGGCATTTTCAAACCAGTAATGTGTAAAAATAGTTTTTAAAATTTAACTAGAAGCTTTGATATAAAAATGCAGTAAGAAATATAAAATCTACCCTTCTTTTAGGACTACATCATCTTTATCATCAGTTGTACTATTAAATACAGTACATTCGGTTCACTAAACAGCAAATGTACACAAATTGTCCCTGATATTATATTGGCAGTGACAGCAAAGTGTTTTACTATCAGCACAATTTCTTGTAGCTTATAGAACACAGCACCAAGGTTTATGTAAAACACACACACATCCACGTGCAGTTCAACTTCTTTGTTCAAAATTATCATCTGTACATTAAAAGAAGCTGAGAAATCAATAAAATCCACACTTTCCCCCCAGAAAACTTCCCAAAATAAAATGGCTCAGCACAACATGAAAATCTAGGAATATTGCATAGTGCAGGGAATATCCCTGTATGAATACACCTGTCTTTTGATTGTTTTTTACCTTTCCAGAAATGGAAAGTAAAGCAGACAAGTGCCAATGAATAGTAAGAGAACACATTCACTTTTTAATCTATTAAGACCAATTTTATGGCTGCGAAGGTTGCTTTGTGGTTTAAGATCCTTGTATCTATTCCTTAAATATGCACACACCATGAAGTCCTTGCTAGAACACACATAACTGAAGAGACAGCATGAATTCACCTGTGTAGAGGGGAAAGGAGACTAAGCTAGGCCTCTGTCTTCCTCTTCTTGCCCCATTCCCCTGCTCATCTATATGTTTAGTGCCTGTGTATTTGAAGATCATAGTACACCCTGCTACTATACAATGGGCCAAAATATTTTGTTCATGGTTTTGTTTAACTGGTTTAGAAAAGGATTTCTACAGTTTATTGTCCATCACAGTGCAAAAGTACCTTTAAAAAGACAATTTAAAATGAACACATATGTACAGTATATATGCATGTACCATACATACATATATAAATATACAAGTGCATGAATATTAATATTCATGCAAAGCTCCACAAAGATGGAATGTTTTAAAGTAAGAGGTGGTTTATTCCAGTAGATAATCTGGAAATAATGTTTGTCCATCTGGAAGTTGGCTGTTCAAATCAGCACTGAGAACTTCCTTGTAAAAAAAATATACATTATATATATATATATATATTGCCAGCTTAAATTGTCAATATAATGCAATATTTTCTTTCATAATTTAAAAATATAAGGTAACAGCTGTACTTAAAAAAAGCTTATTTGTTTTTAAAACACCATACACAGAGAATAATTCATATGGCTATTCCATTTATGGAAATCTACATAGCAATACCTCAATATTAAAACTCTGGAGTGCCAGGTATAAAATGTTTACTGAGGAAATGAAATTCATTGCAAAAATGCTTCCCATCACCCCCATCGCCACTTTTATCATATAATTCAGCCACTGCTGTAAGAACTTGCAGGTCCTGATAAGATTTTTTTTTAAATGATTATTCCTTTGGAATTCAGCTGTTTTGGTTCTAAATGAAAACGCACCAGCTGAAGCCGAATAGTTGAGAATATACTCTGCGACTTCTCTTTTCCCAGTATGTTTTCACAAAAGTTATTAAATACCACAGTGTGATCATTTTATTCTATCCTGACAAGAAAGACTGCATTTTGAGAGGAAACTTCTGCAGACCAGTGTTGACTGCTAAGTGCGCAATGGTTATCGAATAAACATTGGACATAGTCTCCTGGACTCTTGTTTTTGCAATGTGAATGGGACCAGCATCCATCCATTTTTACAAAGCTCAATCTGGCAAAGGTTTTGCTGCATTGTGTCCAACGTCTTTTGTGAACCTGAGAAGTTGTCTGAAACACATAATATTTTCGTTGCGCATCCATTGCCTAGTACTTTCCTTGTTTAAGTCTCTCAATGTGGTAGCACAGCTTTAATGCTGGGCCTAACTTTAGCCCCATATATTTCATTATCATATCACTCCTCAGCAAGAGGAGAGCTTTTCCATCTATTTCCTATGGAAAAAAGACAATCAAGATTAAGTGAAATTTATTTCTGCAGGCTTTGGGAATAGATTTCACAGTAAAAACAAATTTTAATGAAGCAGGCTAAACAAGTTGAAAACTTTGATAATATTGTTCTTATGAATGATCTGCCATTATAATATGCAATTTTCAAAATCCGAATTTTTTTATTGTATATGACAGGTGGATAACAAAAGCACCTAAAAACATATCCCACTTGAAGTTACTTTCAATTAAATGAATCAAAATGAAAAAGACCGTTTTGGTGATAATAGCCCATACCCATAAATTTCCTTTTGACTAAATAAAATAGTAAACATCCCTTGATATTCCAGTTCTGATACTGCACCTTAATTAGTTTCTTAGCACTGCTGCAAGAGGTCCAAACACAGAGACCAGCAATACCTGATGATATCACTGCGCAGCATCTTTGAAAAGGATCTCTTTGCCACTGGATTTTCTCCATTTAAAAATGCAAAGCATCCAAATACCTGAAGAAGTACCCCATACCTCTTCATGTGTGCTCATACTCATCAGATCTGCTTACCTGGCAAACAGTTTCAAAATGACCATATAAAAAGAGGGGTGTCTTTTAAGAAACAAGTATTTAGGGGATGACAATATTTGAGTTCAGCTATCAACTTTCTGTAGCCCTGGTCAATGCTCCCTCTAAGCTGTGGAGTCTTGTGAGCAAAAATTCTACTTTGTGAGCTACTGGCATTAAAGTTGTGAGCGAGCGATTTGGCTGCTGCATAAATTAGTTTGCTCTGGAGCCATCCGTCCTGAGCTAAGCTAAAAATGTGTGAGCCGGAGGCTAAAATACTGTGAGCTAGCTCACACTAACTCAGCTTAGAGGGAACACTGGCCCTGGTCCTTAATCAGTGTAATCACAGTTACACTCCTGGAAGCAAAGGCACTTCTTTCCTCCTTCCAGCCAGATGTTGATGCAGCTAGTTCTTAAAGGCAACATGAAACAACAGCACTCCTTAGTAGAAAAAGAGTGGGTGGGAGAAACTTTCTTCAGACTAATCCCTCCTAACTAGTCAAGCAACACTTTCTGATTTCTAACTAACCTAAAGGGTGGCTTTTCCTTGTAAGTAACTGATATTGTTTACTTTGGGGAAATCAACTGTACGTAATTAATAATGAAGAGCACAATACAGAATAGACTTTATCCTAAAGGATAGTTCCAAGCTGTAAAAATAAAAGGGGGGGGGGACCTTGAGAACAAGGAGGGAAGATGATCTGTAGTCGCCTGACCTTTTCTCCTTCTGACCCAAGAGATGCTGTTATAAAATACAGCAGAGTGAATGGCAGAATCAAAGCAAAAAGCTTTCTTACATGTCTTCTGAAGAGCTCCGCATGGGGTGCCAATGCTTGAGGATCAGCTTCTTTCACAAATCGCATTACTTCATCTATTGACCACATAGAAGGATCCTTATTGGGTATTCTGGAAGGTTCCCGCTTTAGTGCACTGAGGTCAGGTCCTGTTGTAGAGCTTGCAGCTTAAAATACATGACATGATGAAAGTGAGGGAACTGGTATAATATATAACAACTTATAGTTGGTATAAATTAGTATATTTTGGATACACACACACACTGGATATACACACACGTGTATGTTGCTTCTGAAAGCTTTTATATAGCTATTAATGAACAGTCTTTTCCCTATAAGTGTACCTCCATAGAATCATGGCTTTATTTAATCATCATCAATTGTACGTGTTCAGTACTTTTCATTATATTTTTAGTTTAATAGCCGCCCTGAGCCCGCGGGGAGGGCGGGATAAAAATCTAAATAGTAAATAAATAAAATAAAATAGTATAGCTATGTATGTATCTGACCATCTTAGAAGGTGTTCAACATAAGTCTTATCGTGGAAGAGTAACAGGAGAAAATACAATATGGTGATTATTTTCCTATTTACCACTATTGTGTATTCTAAATCTCATAGAAGTCATAAGAGTCCTTCACACGATTCCTCTTACAGGCAACCTAAGAAGAGTCCTGACAGATCAGGCCTAAAATGTACATAAGGTTGTCCAGCATTCTTCTTCTCAAAGGGTGGCTACATGCAAGGCATTAAGACTCTCTTCCACTGCCATCCCCCCCAGAACTGGTACGCAGTGGCATAATTCATCTGAAGACTCTCTTTAGCCCTCACAGCCACTTAAAGACCTGTCCTTCATGAAGATATACAATCCCCTTTTAAAGAGATCACTACATTTTGTCACACTTAGTTCCGTAAATCAATTATGCATTGTAGTACTTTCTTGCCTTTGTTGAAAGCCTACTACCAGTCAGGAAAGAAAAACTACAAATGAATATACATGGGTTATACAATGCACTTTACCACAGGATTCAAACTAAGGTACATCAGGTTCAATAACAGGGGAGGCATCTAGCAAACTAACTAGCTGCCAAGCCCAGGCAAATTGTTTGGGTTGTGAGTCACCACCAGGCCTGACCCCAGCAAGTTCTCTTCCATCAGGGATGGCTGTATTGGTATCCCCTGTCCATTTCTCCACCCACCCACCCCACTTTGCTTTACAGAAACTAGTGCTTGAAAGACTTGACAATATTGTTATGGCTGCACAGCAACCCTTCAAATGGCCACTGAGGGCCATTTTGATCCCCTTCCTCGTTTCTTTGCAGCCCTCGTGAGCCTGGCAATTCCAGGAGGAAGATCTTCAAGAAAAGCTATACTCGAACACTGTACCATAAATTTCCCATGGAAAATCATTTTCTCCTTTAATATACTGTTCAAGAAGCAGGCAAGTGAAGCATGCACTTTGAAAAGGTTTAATTTCCAATTCATTTATTAGCTTCATTGACCCGAGGTCTTAAGCCAGACATGCAAACAGCAACTATAAAATGTATGAAAACCTTAGGAAAAGGTTTAATTGTACCTTCAATCCTCCTCTGCAGTCGATTCCTATTGACTTCATAGTAACTGCTGTTCCCAGCAGAACTTGATGATAGCCTACGTAGGATTGGTGCTGTATTTGAGGTAGCAGTCACTGGTGGAAGAGAATTCCTGTAATAGGCTGCACTCCCTGAGATACGATATTCAGTGGAACTCTGACAACTAGGGCTTGAAAGATGGACTGAATTTCGTGCAGAATCCATTGAGTCTTCAGAAAACCTGTGTTCTTTAGGTGTGCTGTTTTCTTCGCTCGGCAGGATTTCTGCTATATGAAGTTAATACAAACGACTGATGAGCACCAGAGTTACAATGATATAGGAGAATATGATGGTATTTGTGGACACTGTATACATAGTTTTAAATAGCATCCATCAAAGAGTTGTTGAGTTTAGGCAACCAAGTTTTCTCAGCCTCAGTAAACTGGAAATAATCAAAGTTGTTTTGCTAGGATGCATGAGGTAATGACTGTGATCGCTTCACAATGCCCACATGTGATATTCTCTATCTTTAATGCTAGACAGCAATTCAATTCTTCAGCCAATCTGTGCTCTTCTACAGTTTCGTGAGGGTATAAGGCTGTAAAGGTACCTTGAATGGTGGCAGCTACTGGAGAAAACAGAGCCCAAAACTTCAAGGGTGAGAGTTTGGGGAGGAAGGGGTTTCTCAAAAGAAGCTGGGATTCCTCACACACATGCTAGGGAATTAAACTCTCTTGGCTGCTTGCTGACTTAGAGAAATAGACTGGGTGGGATGTGAAGTCCTGCAGTGTACTGTATATAAGGTAAGGTAAGAGCCAGTGTGGCTAGGATCCGGGAGATCCAGGTTCGAATCCCAACTCTACCATGGAAGCTTGCTGGGTGACCTTGGGCCAGTCACACACATTCAGCCTAACTACTTCACAGGGTTTTTGAAAGGATAAAATGGAGAAAGGGAGAATGCTGTAAGCCATTCTGGTTCCCCACTGAGGGGGAAACTGGGGTATAAATGATGTAAATAAAATAACGTGTCAGAAATTAGGCGGACTCATCCATCACTGCAATATGAGGAAATCAGAAGATGATCATCAGAGCACGGTTGCTTGTTGCGTGTGTCATGCTAGCAACAAAAGGATGTGTATTATTTAGTCATTTTACACCTGTTTTCTACTGGCACAGGGGGAAGTAGCATTGGAAACAGTCTTGATAAATAAAATGTATCAAAACCCTTTTTATTTTGCCCACAGCATAAACTTCTATAGCAAATGCATAAGCTTTTACAGTAATTATTCTATTTGAAAATTAAAGATGCTATATAGTAATATTATCATAGCAAAATATATCGTGATGACTGTCTGCAAGCATTGCTCCCTGTGAGCAGAAGCTCCCTGTTAGCAGAAGCTAACAAGCATTGCTCCCTGTGAGCAGAAGCTCCCTGTTAGCAGAAGCTAACAAGACTAAGGCTTTAAAGCAGGGGTGTTAAACATAAGACCCTGGGGCCAGAACCCGTCTGTCCAGGGCTCTTATATGGCCCCCAAGCAACTAGTGCTAGGGAGGGAACTGGAGACTGCTGGGGGTGGGCAGAGCCACTCTAATTGTGGGTTCGGCATGACAGAACCACCTCATCTGCAGCAGTCAAGCAGTGAGGGGGGGGGGTGCCTGCCCAGTGCTGCACCACTGGCCCTCCAGTCTACTCATATGGGGTTTCCTTTGCACCCCCCCTCCCAGTCCATGGGGGCTTGCAGTGAGGACACACCAACTCGGAGCTTACCAGCTGCTGACATTTATGTCAGATCCACCCCTTATAAGTAATGAGTTCGACACCTCTTTTGAAGTCAAAAGGGTAATACAGCTTAAGCATGCCTGCAAGCAACATACTCTCAATATGCAAATCTTGCATCTGAATTCCAGATCCAAAGGAAAGAAAATCTGGTCTTTGTTCAATAATATTCACCAGCCCTCTTCTCAGGTGTGATCATAATGAGTATTTTCCAGGTCCTGGCTTATAATGACATGCCCAGTTTCTGAATCCATTACACACAGAAGACAACCCAATGAAATTATCAAGATGTACTGTTCATACAGGTATGCAGTCACAGCTTTCCACAGTTGTCTGTGGTGAGTGAATTAGGGCTGGAGCCAAGATCTGGCTTCCATGTGTGGAAGGTACCTTCTGTTCATGCTAGGTTACAGTCCCCTGCATACCATTCTCCTGCAGCTTTTCATAGGCATAGTTGTTGCCTAGATCTCTGGATCCCAGTTATTCGCAGCAATCTAGTTTGTGCTTATAAGTTACGATGCTTCTAAGAAAACGATGTTACTTTGTTTCCTTTGCCATATAAGCCCTCAACGCATGTCTAACTTTCAAATGTATGCCTTAAGATTTTGCTTACAGTGCTAAGAATTGCATTGATAAGTATGTGTGTTGTGGTGTTATTTACCTTCTGAGGGGTGGACTTCAGTTCTTGGTAGTTTAGGAGACAAGGGGGCAGTATAGGGTGGTGAATCCTGAGAATACCGTTTAGTAGTACTTCTATTGTCTGATATTTCTTCTTTTGCTGCAAAACACACACATATAAACAGTTCCTTTTAATAAAATTAAGGAATGCAAGTATTATAAAGTAAACAATACACTTAATTCAGTAGTTCAAATATGTCAGTGTTTTATTTTCCTACCAAGTCTCTCTACATTTCTAGTTTTAACAGTCTTCTTCCATGGAAGCAATTTGAATAGATTCCTGGAGAGGAATACACACAGGAAATACAACATGGGATTTTTCTGGAAAGACCCATAAGCAGAAGACAGCTGGTAGCCAGTGTCACACTTTTTTCATATGTATCATTACACAGAAATAATTCCAAAGTGCTCCCTGGAAGCAAATCATTATAATGGCACTGGACCTAAGAGGCATCTCGGGGGGTGGGGGTAATCTGGTCCCACTTAGGGCTGTATCCAAAATGTACTGCAAGTCAGAGAGCAAATTTATTCATTTCAGCGGCAGGAAATTGACATAATAGGCAACAATTAAAATGTGGGTACTTAACCATCTGTGTATCTTCCTTTCTTATGGACATGGCAGATGCCAGTTTTTCTAGAAAACTGCAAGCATGGTCTTCAAAATATTACAGCTTCTGACAATTTCTGATGTGAATGTATAAATAATAAGGCTAGTACAGTTAAGTGTGAACTATGACCGAGGGAGTCCCCAGTACATGGGTGTGTGCCCTTACCTTAGGCCCTTGCTGTCAATATGGTGATAAGACCCAACCACTTTATAAGGCAGGTATAAAGGTTCGTGACACAATATCCATGACTTTTATCCTTTCTTCTATTAGATGGATTCGAGAGAACAGACCTGCTCTTTCCTGAAGATACATACTTAGAAACAACAGGGTCTCTTAGCAGCTCCCCATGCCTCGACTGCGAGACCCATCCTTTAAACTTTTTCTGAATTTATTTTAGAGCTCTTATGGTCCAGCAGGTTTCACAGTAAGAGGCCCAAGTCAATCTCAATTTTTAAAAATCTCTAAAAGGGAACCACCACTGTAGACTTGAGCAGCTGCTCAACAAACAAGTGTATAGTGTAACACCCCTACTGTACAAGCAAAGCACTTGGTAAAAAGCATAATCATATATTTTATTTTCATTATGGCTCTTGCTCAGGGGTGGACTGCCATTACTGCTGCCAGGACTCGTCCAAATGGACCAATGACCTGTCCGCCCCCCCCCCCCGGGCCAGCCCAGCCTAGTTGTTAGAAGGGTGCCACCTGGCTAATTCTCGTTGTGTGCACGGATGATATCACCCAGCTGAACCTGGTGAAGTGTGGAGAATGCAGTACCCAGCCAAACGCTATGTGATGCAGGGATGGCTGAGCATTCAGGTTGGCTCGTTCTGCCTCTCTCCCTCCTTTGGGCGAGCAGAGGCAGGGCCAATTTTTTTCCTTTCAGTCCTCCCTTGGTCTTGCTGCAGTTTACATCAAAATTTGGGATTCAGGTAAAGCAGCAAGACCCTCATACTTGCCTATTTAATCAAAGATCACGGGAGTCCTATTCCATACTATACTAAAGCAGTACTTACATGGTGTCACATCCTATAGCGCTCACTGAAATTTATTTCTAAGAGTAAATACATACAGAGGATCAGACTGTAAAGGAAAAGCCACAGATTTAAAAGCATATTTGGAAATTCAAGTGTGCGGAGTTTTGCTTTTCCTTTATATTCTGATCCTCTGTATATATTTATATTGGAACTATAGCAGACACTACTCTCTTAAGTCCTAACGAATTAATTTGTGCTGGAACTCAAAACTCAATTGCTATCAAGTTCTATTCTATGGTATATATCATTGACTCCTTGGGGGGGGGGTGTTAGAGTGATGGCACAACAGAAAATTACCTGGCTTGTTTCTATCATAATCTGTAGGACTATGGGCACTCCCCATATAAGGACTGAAAGGCTGGCTGCTAAAAAGATTATCACACTGAAGGCTGTGGCAGAGCTTCTCCAAGAACCGCAGGACAAAGGATGCACTGTTTACAGAAGGAAGACTGATGGCATGCTTCTCCCCATCAAAAGAGGCTGTTAGTAAAAAGAAAAGGGGGGGGGGTCAAACACCATTCTTGCAGTATACATTCTTGAACACATTCTCTCCTTTGACTGAAACAAAGGGATAAAAAAGACAGAACATATTCCTGCATATTTCTTTTCAGGCAAGCCTACTTTCAGAGCCTTGGCTACTTTCATTTACCCTTGTGCAAATGCCAAGCAACAAGCCTTTCTTTAAAGGATATCAGAACTGTACAAAATCTAAATGAGGCTCTCTTTTATAGTGGGAGACTTTTCATTAACCTAGTGCCACTTAGGCAGAGGTATCTGTCAGAACAGATTTCTGTTATTCCTGCCCCATCTCAGAATATGTCACGTCAGGCCCAAGAGTCACAGCACCATCCCTTACGTTGACAGTATTTCCCCCCCAAGCCAACCACTGTGAACAGTGCAAGCGGAAACATCATTATTTTGTCTTATAATTTTGGAGTGGCTGGACAATTTTCTGGACTGGGGGAGGCTATGATACTGTTACAACCTAAGCAATATTTCTAGCACTTTATGAATCACTTTATTTATTAATAGAAATACCTATGTATGATAGTAAAGGTAAAGGTTCCCTTGCTCGAAAGCCAGTCGAATCAGACTCTAGGGTTGCGGTGCTCATCTCCGTTTCAAAGCTGAAGAGCCAGCCGTGGTCATGTGGCCAGCATGACTAAACACCAAGGCACACGGAACGCTGTTACCTTACCACTGAAATGGTACCTATTTATCTACTTGCAATTTCTTGCTTTCGAACTGCTAGGTTGGCAGGAATGTAAGATAGGACTCACTAATTTATAAAAATAACTGGAAAAAAAAATCATTACAAATTTGATTCATGGTGATTCAATGAGACTACATTCCTAGCTTGATCTTCCTTGTCATTCAAAGCAGTAAGCACTCCATGTACAACAATGGGGTCTTACAGACTGAATTTCACTCACTACCTGATGGGAGACTGATACTGCCCTATACCTGTGTATAAATTAACGATGGTATAAAAATTAATGACTTTTCACAGCAGACACACTGTGACATTTTTAATACTGCTAGACAGCAGGTTTATGAGGGTCTTATTAAACCTGCATATTACAAGTTACTGTTGCCATCTGCTTTTAATGCAGGGAGAGTGAAGTAAGGCAACCTTTTTTAAGTGCCTATGACTTGTATGAATTGATGTACTAACATCTGTCCTGAATATAGCTTCTGCCAGAAAAAAAAGTGACAACAGCTCCCAATTTAGAACAAGATAGTATCTTCATCAACACAGCTGCTATTAAGGCTCATTCTGTAACAGATGACAGGTGCTTCGAAAACTGACCCCCCCCCCTCCCCGCATTTCCATAATATTTTCACAGGAAAAGAAGGAGCCGCCACAACATTTTACTTTAAACATATGGAGCCATTTAGTGGGAAGTTTAACAGATTTGTTTAAGAACTATGCACCTACCTAAAAGAGCAGAAGCACAACATATACAGGTGTGCTTCCTTATGAATTACAGCATAAACAGCATACATTCTTTTGATAGCATTTAGATAAGGTGACTGCTTTCCTATAAAAAAGCAAAGCAGTGCAGCAGTATTTAGTCTTACCCAGAGGCTCAATATGGAAAAAAACCCTGAACTAAACTGTTTCAGACACCTGTGATACCATAACCTGTAATCTTGATTTTTCTCCTAGTTAGCTGCTGAAGTACTTTGCTATGCTTAGAAACTAACAAAAATTGTTTACATTGCCACTTCACTTCCTAGATTCCTACCCAAAATCTCTCAAAAACTGCTCATTTAGGAACAACAGGAAATGTTGAATGCTCTGCCATTACCGGTGATCATTTCTCCTGCATGATGTCCTGACTTCAGAAATCCAAAGACCGTTTTCGACTGATAGGCACAGTCTACACAAGCTTGCACAGCCTGCTGAAGCACCACATTCACAGGACCAGGTCCAAAGTGATCAGGAAGTTGCTGTACCTTCTTTTTATCCAGATGAGGCCCTGAGTTTCCATGTTTGTTAACATAGACACAAACTACAAAGAAAAAAGAAAGGATCACTGGCAATTTTATGCAATGGAACTTGTTGCTCTTCAAGAACAGGCATTACATTCCGGACCTAATTTTATTTCATAGAATTATCAATTACATGCAGATCTATTGCATATTTATTCCTAGCTCTAAGACTTGCCAGAGGTAAAATTTAGACTGAATAGTAATGAACATGAATTGCTAATCCTCTGCCCATAAATCCTCCTCCCCCCACTAGCTTTTCCAAGACCTCCAGTTCTCATGGGAAGGAGCCCAAATTCTCACTCTCCTGGCACATCTATACAAACCCAACTAGACTAGTTAGTAAGTTCAGTACTTTGCTTTTCGTAGACTTAAAACAAAATTAAACAAATGCTGTTCTTTCCAGTTTTTATTTTGCAAGTCTTCCTAAATCCCTGAGGTGTAGGTTTCCTCATTCAAACAGACTAGAAGTGACTTGCCCAGAATCAAAACAATGGTGATGTAAAACTCTTAATCTGGTGAAACAAAGTTTGAGTCCAGTGACACCTTTAAGACCAACAAAGTTTTAATCAAGATGTGAGCTTCCTCAGGCATTTCTGAAGAAGTGTGCATGCACACGGAAGCTCACAGTTTGAATAAAACTCCCTTGGTCTCAAAGGTGCCACTGGACTCAAACTTTGTTCTACTGCTTCAGGCCAACATGGCTACCCACCTGGATCTATCTTAATCTGGTGGCACTCTCACAGTGTACCTATGATAAATAACCATGATAGGAACTCTAGAACACAGTTTCTTCCCAGAAGACAGCATTATCTCATTTTTGCAATAAATTAACTCACCGGTAGAAATGACAGCTGCTGTTGCACCAGTAATAGCAGACGCATCTTTGTAAATCTGTGTAGTGCTATTTTCCACTTTTGCAGAAGAAAGGGAAGGAGAAAATACCGCAGATTGCACCGGGAAGATTTTTTTCTGTTTTTTTGGGGTGGAGGAAAGAAATTGTTTTGGTTTTTTTAATGAATGCCTACATAATCTGTAAGAAGAAAGACCACCCCAGCTCTGGCCTCTCTGATTTGTTGACGAATACCAAGACTACGCTTGCTTCTAACAGTTCCAACCTATATTTCAAAGCTTCTTCTAGGAGGAGATTCATTATCTCAACAAATATCAGACGCAAGTCAAAGCATGCATAAGGCGCACAAAAAAAAAATCAACTCAAGATGGCTTGATCAGATCACTCCCAAATTACAATAGCTGTGTGAAGCATCTGAGGGTCAACAGCTATGGATAAGCACATTACCACTGCTCTACCTTCATGTTTTACAAGGATGGAAAGCTGCTAAAATTAGAATAGACTGAGATGTCAAATGTCGATTTCATTACTCTCCTTGTGACCGCAGGACACAAATGTGTGTGCTTATCCTAATGAATTATCTTAGTTAGTGAAACTAGCCTATGTTGAACAAGTTATTTCTTAAAAACCTAGAGGCAAAAAAAAATCAGCAAGAAATTCAGTAAAGGGATACTTCTGTTGGCAAGCATACTGGGTTTCCAACTGACCCTAACTAAAACTCACTGAATGGCTCAGGAAAATTAGATAAATAGAAATCATCAACTTTAAAACTTGTCACACTTGCAACAGGTATCTGTCATTATTTTAACATATTTTTACCCTACTGTTTAGTGAAAACTGACTTAAAGCAACTCAGAGGAATAAAAGGAATAAAGCTGCATTCAGCACATTCTAAAATAATATACTGCTTGTACTGCATGACTTGTAGGAACACTACAAAGGAAATCTGTAACACATTTAGTATACAGTTTGACTAAATATATGTATAAAACATAAACAAAATTTTATGTTTTATACATAAAACATCCCTCCAAGCATCCCAGTAAAGCATAGACATCCCCTGGCAACAAATATGAAAGTTCACATATCATGTTCACTAACCTTCCTGCCTGGTTTCAAGCTCTTTTTTCTTGTTTTGAGGTTTTCCTTATGAGTTGTGTTTTTTGTCACATGAATATTTTTAGGAGACCTGCCTTTCTTAATAACTGCAGGTGAAGCTGGTGGTTTTCCCCGACCAGGTTTCCTCCCTTTGGGTGTGGGAGCAGGAGCTGGAACCGATGCTGATTTCTGTGGAGACTGCATTGAACGCCGGGTCACTTTGGAAGGGGATGTCTGGGCTTTTGCATTATTCTTTGTACTAGAAACTGAGATGAAAGTAAAAATATACATGTATCAAAATCTGAAAGCATGTTTTCTAGGTGATAATAATTTGGAATGACTATTTAGAACCTCTTAATTAGTCTTTAAAATACAATGACATATCTTCATGCAATTTGTACTTGAAATGGGGGATGCCAACTCTTCCACACAGTACCATGCATGGAAATCTGCAGCTAATATTTGTCCCGATTCTGTGCAGAGCTTCACCTGCTGGTTTACTGCACATCAAGTTGCTGGTAAATGCATAACAATGGGCCAGGCCATTTCTTTTCTTGAGAGTTGGCAACTCTAACTGGAATACAACCAGATTCTACTGGAATCCTATCTGACTTTCAGTTCCCCAATGGAACCACTTAGCAGTCCACTGAAATTTCTCTTACACAAGCTTGACATAAATGAATGGAATTTGAGTACATTCAGTAGAGCAAAGTATCAGTTTCTCCATGCTTCTTATTAGCTGAACATTTTTATTTTTTTCATCCCACAATTTACTTCCTGGCCATTTGGATTCCTTATTATCTCTGCGTCAAGGAGTTCTATCCATCCATGAATCTTAGAGAACATTTCAAGACATACTGTTCATATAAAAATCAAGGCAGTTTAGAGGTTTCTAGTCAACCTGTTTTTTTAGTATCCAAGAAGTATCCCATATTGACTAAAAGCTGTACAGTAAATGCTTGCTAAAATCTAAACACAACTGACTCAACAACAAAAAAACTGTTCTGCTTTCCAAACACATTTTTTGTTGCACAATACTGGAAAAACTGAACACATTATTTCTCAATAAAAACAGAATACTTTAATTTTTAAATTAAGCACTCTGGGTCCATGTTCTTTACCAGTACAAATGGGCAAAATTCCACAGAAAGAAAATTCAAATCACCTGCAAAAGTAGAAGTTTCCTTGTGCAATGAAGTCCAGCTTCAAACAACAGAAAACTAGCCTATTTATGCACTGATTCTTTCAACTGCAACTTGCATTAGCCTTTTCCATCTTATCAAAAAGTTTGAATACTGTTTTTCCCTGGACCTCTCCTGGCTTTTGACACCGTCAATCATGGTGTCTTTCTGGGACACCTTTTGGGTTTGGGAGCACTGTTCTGTGGTGGTTTCAGTCCTACCTTGAAAGTAGATTTCAGAATGTGGTCCTGGGGGACTGCAGCTCAACTCTTTGGCCTTTAGCCTGTCAGGTCTCAAAAGGTTCCAACTTAACCCCTATGCTCCTTTACACCTACCTGAAATCACTGGGAGAGGTCATCTAGACAATGGGGCTAGTTGCCACTGATGTGGAGAACACTCAGTTCTTTCGTTTCTAGCATATCCCAAGGAGGCTGTGGAAACTGTGAACAGATGCCTGGACGCAGTTTTGGGATGGAAGAGGGCAAACTGCCCTAATTTCAAAAAAATGGAGGTGCTATTGTGGAGGAAGGAGGTTTGACCCCGGAATTCTGGTATCTCCTGCTCTGGATGGGGCTGCACTCCCTCCCCAAGCAGGTCTGTAGCTTGGAGGTGCTGCTGGACCCAGAATGTTGACTGGAGTGGGTCACAGATACCATTTCACTTCAGTCTTGTTCCATCCACACTGGCTCTGTTTCGGAGCCTAAGGTGTTGCTACTGACCTTTAAGGCTCTATATGGCTTGGGGCCAGCATGTCTGAAGGATCACCTCCTCCCATAAAAAACCACCCACCCACTCCACTCATCTTCAGAGGCCCTGCTTTGGGTGCTCCCACCAACTGAGACTAGATGGGTGGTAACCTGAGAAAAGGCCTTGTTGGTCATGGTGGCAAAACTCTGGAACTCTTGCCCAAGGAGATCCCATCTGTCTTCCTCTATCATTGGTCTTCCACCAGCAGGTTTGGCATAAAGGTAAAGGTAAAGGTTCCCTTGCTCGAAAGCCAGTCGAATCCGACTCTAGGGTTGCGGTGCTCATCTCCATTTCAAAGCCGAAGAGCCAGCGCTGTCCGAAGACGTTTCCGTGGTCATGTGGCCGGCATGACTAAACGCCAAGGCGCACGGAACGCTGTTACCTTCCCACCGAAGTGGTACCTATTTATCTACTTGCAATTTCTTGCTTTCAAACTGCTAGGTTGGCAGGAGCTGGAACTAGAGACAGGAGCTCACCCCGTCTTGCGGCACCCGGGTCTTGAACTGCTGAACTACTGACCTTCCACAGCCTGCAATACAGCGTCTTAACCACTTGAGCCACCGCACTGTTAATGGCCCTCCTCCTTAGTTGTGTTATGTGTGTTTGAATTGTGTTTGAATTTATGTGTTTATTGAGTTAATTATTTTATGTGTACTTTATTTTAAATGTTGTTTTAATTAGTTGTAGATTTTCCGGGCTTTATGGCCATGGTCTTGGCATTGTAGGACCTGATGTTTCGCCAGCAGCAGAGGTATAACACAGAAAGATGGAGTACTCTCTTTGTCAAGGTGAGAAGAAAAATGGTAGGCAGGTAATTTATATCTACTCAGGAAGGTGGGGTAGGGCTGAGTCTTATCTTGTAGGAGTTCCCCAGGCTGTGACATGCTAATGGAGGAGCTTTCCTGAGGAGGTTCTTTTGCATATGGATTGGCTGCATTCCATTTTTCTTCTCACCTTGACAAAGAGAGTACTCCATCTTTCTGTGTTATACCTCTGCTGCTGGCGAAACATCAGGTCCTACAATGCCAAGACCATGGCCATAAAGCCCGGAAAATCTACAACAACTAATGAACCCCGGCCGTGAAAGCCTTCGACAACATATTGTTGTTTTAATGCTGAAATATTGAGATGTTTTGGTGCATTGTGGACCCTATTTAGAAGGAAAAGGCAGCACAGAAATATTTAAAATAAATTAAAATAAATCGTTTCCTCATCATAAATAATAGCAGACAACACTCAATTGTGGACAAGTGCTGGATTCAGAGTTGGATCCAGCCAGCCTTTTCAGTCCATTTTACCTAATTCCATTCCTTATCCCAGCTCACACACTTCTTTCATCAAGGGAGGTCTCACGATCTCTAGCATAACCTTTTTGGTAGTCAGTAAGAATCCTCTTTTTCCTTTTTCATCAATGGAAAAGCTGGTTGGATCTAACTCACAATTTTCTGAATATAAACTCTATTATCTATTCCTAAATGTCATTTTTTAAAATGCATTTTGAAATGCATTTTAAGCTAGCTATCAGCATTTTCCATGATAACATTGTAATTATGTACAATGCCCAAATATTCAATAAATTGTATCTTAGAAAGTATCAGAATGCACTATAAACGTACATTAATGTAAGATATATGCCAAACATTTTGACACTACTTAGCGTACATTCTCTAGTGTAACATTAAACAATAAAAAGTATAGGTTACACTATACACAAAAACCGTTGAAGACTACCTAAAATAAACTTATTCTGTTAAGACTAAAGTAGCATCAAAAGCCTTTAACTGAAATTCAGGGCAAATCAAAACAGTGAATCTTTCAAGATGTAACTGAAACACCCTTTTTCTAGCAGCAAAACACCTTTACCATACAGTAAAATGCATTTATGTCTAATACTTCACATATCTAAAAGGAAAACAAATAGTAACAGTTACTACATTCTTGGCTCTCTATTTTAATGGATTACTCTGAGATCAACCAAGTCCACAAGTACAAATAAAATAAGCTTCAATGCCATAGGTAGTAAATGTGCAGGTACACATTTTTACACAGTGAAACTTTCTCCTCTTTGTTTAGCAGGTGATATCTATCATTCATCATACATGCTGGCAATGCCATAATAGTGACTCCTAAAAACTGCTTACTTTAAAACAGGGTTTCCTACCTTTATATTCCAGAGAGCGAAATACAATTTATATTAGCCACTGAGAAGGTTCAGGACCCAACCCAACATGTCTGCTTTCTTAGCAAGACTGAGACTGAAAAAGCAAATCTGTAACAAAACCCACAAGTGGGTAGGGAAATGTACTACCAAATCAGAATGAAGCTATTTGCATTTGTTGGATTAACAGAAAGGGAAAGGGGGAGGCAACAGAGTGGCAATTCACTTATTGTCTGCCGGCTCTACTGGCAGAGACCATCAGTCATCTGCCCATACTTCCCTCACCCCTGCCTTCAGGAGGAGATCAAACATTAGATGGGGTCAAAGTGGAAAGAAGTGAAAGGACATGCAAAAAAATCTAATTGCCAACTCACTAAATCGATAGATAAAGCTGACCCAACAGGACCAGAGATGAGAAAACCCTTGTAACAGTTCGTTGATCTCAACAAGACTTTTTAAAAAATCAATTAAAAAAGGGGAATGACCGCCTGTGTTTGAAATTAATGTACAGTGTATAGTTGGAAAGGGGAGGGTAGAAAGAAAAAGCAGCATGTTTGCTCTTTTCAGGACACTGCTTTGCATCACAATGCTCCTCTCAAATCCGCAAACAAAACAAAGCATCTAGTTTCTAGCTGTCCTGGCAGAACAATTAAGGTATCAACTATTTAGGACTCTTGTATGCAATCTCCTGTCATGTCTTCAACCCTAAGCAACAACTTCACTAAAGGCTTTTGAAATATAATGCCTCCTCAACCTGAGCGAGTGTATCCTTGCAACCACCATGAAAACAAGAGAGACAGTAGAAGCAAAAATTGCTAGCATGTGTTTCCTGCATTAGAATACTGATGTAGTCGTTCAGATAATTATTTATGTTACCCATACTAGAAATTAGGATGCTAATCCATCTGTCGCTTCTACCATTTGCATTACTGTATCATTTTTAGATGACCTTAAATTATGACCATAACATCATCCTCTTGACCCATGAAAAGCAAATAATCTTTGGTCAGGGCTAGCAAAATATTACAGATCCCTAGACACAGGTTACATCATCAAGATCCATACTTCCATGGCCATTCCAAGCAGTGCCAACAAAATCAACTCTGAATAAGAATAGAATCAAGATAGCAGAAAACCTTTTCAACAGAAAAAAAGTTTCCAAGATTTTGCTGGGGATCTACATCCCCCTTTATCATGCCTTTGCTGCTGCAAAATTTGGTTATATTTGTACATGTTGGATAGTGGTTACAAAATACCTACATGTGCCTCTAACATCTCTGTGATGTGCATAACTGAAAAATCATCCTAAAAGCAGTTGTGTGTGTGTGTGTGTATATACACATACATGCTGCACAGAACTACTTTAAATTATGGGGTGCAACTATGACTCAGGAGTACAATATCTGCTTCAGGTCCCAGGTCCACCCCCTGATATCTCCAGTTTGAAGGATCAGATTGTATGTGATTTGATGTGGTATTTATCAGCTTCTTACCATTATTCCCTGGTGGCTGTAGAGCATCTCTTGTTAAATCACACCATCCAACTGGAAAGATATCCCGGGAATCATATTTACACCAATAGTCAAATGCCCCTCGCCAGCCATCAAAGGTAATAAAAATTTCATCTCCTTTCACATCACCAATTGTTGCAGGGCATATTAAAAAAGGGTTTTTTCTGTCTATTGCTTCTAGTTTCATTCCAACTTTAAAACTATTTAGAGATGGTTTTGGTGGTTCCTACAAAATAAAAAGATTCATATGTTTAGGTAAGTATGAAATCTTGAAGAATATACATTTCTATAACCATGCCACCTAAAAATACTCACGTTCCAAAAGGGACACTGACAATATGTGGGTATTTTCCTCACCTTTTCTACTACCCCACTGCTTCAATGTGAGTGGATTCACGCCTTAATTACTAATTCTTTTGCAGTTAAAAATAAGTCAAGAATAAAAAAGAAACAACGGACAATTTTTTTTCTGAAAAATGAGATGTGTTTTCACTTTCAAAAGCTATCAAGCAACATTTAAAGGCAGTATAACAATAATGGTTCTAGTTCCCTCCTCAAAGGAACAATAGTTACAGTGTTGATGAAAAGGTACAATAGTTTTCAGTGTCACACTTGTCAATGTCAAAGGGGCCATGAACTGAAGTCCTGAAGACCATCAAGGCTTTGCTGAAACGCATTTGTAAACTAGCAGGAGACTCTCTTATAAAGCCATTCAAACTTGCATAATGTGGCTTCAATGGATGGTCAAAATGATGAATTACTACCATGATGAAGTCTCCCCTCCCTCTCCCTTTAACATTTTGAATTGTTAAGCTGGTTTGTGAGTTTGATAGGGAGAGCTAACATTTTAATGTTAAGATATAATGCATAAAATACTGATTTTTAAAAGTAACACTTCAATGTCATTTGACAAGACAAACATAACTTTATTGCTCTTTTTACAATTTAAGCACACTGTTTTCTTTTTTTCCAAGCTGGCCCCTTCTCTTCATAAAGACGAGACTTGTACTGTTCTAGCTGTGGTAATTCACTAAGTATGTTATGCATCAAGAGGTAGGAAAAGAGGAAGAAAGCTGAGACAATTTATGACAAAGGAAGGAGAGGGTATTAGCTGCAAATCCATTTAGCATATGGTATTTGTTGTGGATATAGTTCCCATTTTACCTCTGGCGCTTTTCACATGACCTCTCGCCTGACAAACTCTGCCTATTCTATTTCATCTCCCTTCTCTGCTCTCCCTGTATTTTGGTTATTTTATGTACCTAGGCTTCCTGAACCTGCCTACCCTCTGTATAATATGAGATTTCTGGACACACATACCAAACTTGCACATGGATACACAATAAGGTTTCTTGACACACAACATAGACACATTCTTGAACAGAAGAAGAAGAGTAGATTGGATTTATACCCCGCCCTTCACTACCCAAGGGAGTCTCAGAGCAGCTTACAAACTCCTTTCCGTTCCCCTCCCCACAACTCCCTGTGAGGTAGGTGGGGCTGAGAGAGCTCTGAGAGAAACTGCTCTTTGTCAAGAACACCTCTGACAGAACTATGGCTTGCCCAAGGTCATCCAGCAGCTGCAAGTGGAGGAGTGGGGAGTCAAACCTGGTTCTCCCAGATTAGAGTCTGCGCACTTAACCACTACACCAAACAGAAATAAGATTTTAATGAGAATAGGAACAGCATACCTGGGGCACTGCCTCTCCCCATATGGGCTCCAGAGAGCCTCGTCCTCTGCTGGTCAAGACCTGCTAGTTGTCCCCAGCCCAAGGGAATGTCCGATTAGCCTCGACCAGGGTCAGGGCTTTCTCTGCCCTGGCCCAAGCCTGGTGGAACATGCTCCCATCTGAGATCAGAGCCCTGCGGGACTTATTACCATTCTGCAGGCCTGGGAAATGGAACTGTGCTGCCAGGGCTTTGGCTGAGGCAGTGGGCATCCAATAAATAAATACTGGGCCTTCCCTGCTGAAACTGAAGCCTACCACCTCAACGTGGCCAGGATCAATAAGATATCAAAGACTTAATGGCACCAGCTTCAAAATAATGTATATAGTGAAACAGTGCAACCTGTTTTGTGCTTTTCTTTTTAAAAATCTATGTTATTTTAAATTGCTTTTAATTATTCTGTAAAGTTATATTTATATGTTTTAGAACCTTACTGTGATCCGCCCTGAGCCCGCTTGCGGGGAGGGTGGAATACAAATTGAATAAAATAAATAAATGACTACTTTTGCAATAGAATAGCCCAAGAATTCACCATAAAAGAAGATAATGTAAAGAAAATATGGCATATTACTGGGGGGAAATAAAATATTTCTTGATGCAAAATTCCATTGTTTGTTGATATGACAAAATTCCTTAAGGGTAACAAACATAAGATACTCTTGTATGCATTAAAATGTGATGGACAGGTCATATTATGCAATCTGAATACGAGAAATCATGAAAAGAAGGAAAGGTATTATATATTTCCTTAAAGTATGGTATACTTTACAGACAGTCTCTGCATTGCCCACAATCTTCACACATCAACTGTTTACATATGTGTTCTATTCTCTTTCTATTCTTAGGTCCAAACATCTGACAGTCAGATCTAAAATCAATTGTTTACATATGTTTTCTATTCTCTTAGGTCCAAACATCTGACAGTCAGATCTAAAATCAAGTTGGGGAAATACAGACCCTACAAGTTACAAATTGTAACATGTAGTTTGGCCCATAGTGCATACATGGGTCAAAATCAGATCTCCATGTAAGAATTAACATGCTTCTGTAACACGCAATTAAATATAGTGGTTTACACTCATTTAGAAGAAGAAGAAGAGATCTGATTTATACCCCGCCCTTCACTACCCAAGGGAGTCTCAGAGTGGCTTACAAAATCCTTTCCCTTCCCCTCCCCACAACAGACACCCTGTGAGGTAGGTGGGGCTGAGAGAGCTCTTGACAGAAACTGCTCTTGAGAGAACAGCTTTGACAGAACTGTGGCTTGCCCAAGGTCATCCAGCAGGTGCAAGTGGAGGAGTGGGGAATCAAACCTGGTTCTCCCAGATTAGAGTCCGCGCACTTAACCACTACACCAAAATAGCTCTCTGATTTAGGATCACACATTACAAAATGTCCACATTTATTGCATTGAATTACAATTATGTGAAGTATCTCTCATATAGGCACAACATGTATGCTTAACCACTGACATATGTTTTGAATTCATGAAATATAAACCAAGCTAAAAGTGTTATCTTAATATAGCACACCTTTAAAATGCAAACACAGTAGGAAGTGCTGCTATACATTTACATTAAAATATTATTTCCAGTGCAGTTCTGGAACTTGCAACTTGACAACCAAAATAAAAGCTATTTTTAAAAGCTTCCTTACATTTGTGTGCTGAAGAAAACAGTATAATATACTGGAATCTTGAGCAAACAATGCAGCTGTCGTTCCTATCTTAGAAAGTTTCTATAAATGACAAACAAAGAGCTCTTTTAGCATTACCTTCTTAAAGAATGCTGCAGGTGCCATGTCAGCACCATTTAATGTTCTTAAGAGAAACATTGGCCAAGAAGATGCATTCATCTGGAATCCTATATTGACAAAAGCAGAGAAATGGTGCATACAGATTAGCAAAATAAAGGCTTTATAATTGGTATTATCTCCACAGGGTACATTTAAATTAAAAAACAGAGGATGACTTTGCACTAGGAAATGCAACTATAACTAAGCAATTCTAAGTTAAGCTTCTGTTTTAACACACAGGAATGCAATATATTTAGAGGTAGGCTGAAATGAAGCATTTTAACTTACATTTTACCCTTAAAAGAATACGATGTTGGAACCAGAAGGTTCCATACCACTTGGGAAATACCACTTTTATATAAAACTAGCAGGAGACAATTATATACAAAATTAGCTGCTAGCTCAGCCTATGGACAAGTTGCAAACCTGTTAATAAGCATTTCAAAATGTATTCGGCTAACACACTAGTATCAGGCCCCGGAATTTACTTTATCTAAAGAAAACATGGAAGAGCAAAATAGTATGAAACATCTTTTATCATATTCTCTCTTAGCAGGATTGTTTGGGGTGACAGTTTACATCTACCACAGCAGCTGATTGTATAATAACAGCAGGCAAGCATTACTTCAAATTTTTAAAAATTATGGGTCATGCTGAAACATATAAATTCAAGCAGCTTTGTTTCCAACTTTCTATCTCAGTAGTAAAAAAAGAAAACAACCTACCCAGTATATTGTAATTAGGTAAAGGTAAAATAAAGGTAAAGGTTTCCTTGCTCGAAAGCCAGTCAAATCCAACTCTAGGGTTGCAGTGTTCATCTCCGTTTCAAAGCTGAAGAGCCAGCGCTGTCCGAAGACGTTTCCATGGTCATGTGGCCGGCATGACTAAACACCAAGGCGCATGGAACGCTGTTACCTTCCCACCGAAGTGGTACCTATTTATCTACTTGCAATTTCTTGCTTTTGAACTGCTAGGTTGGCAGGAGCTGGAACCAGAGACGGGAGCTCACTCCATCATGTGGCACCCGGGTCTCGAACTGCTGAACTACTGACCTTCCACAGCCTGCAGTTCAGCGTCTTAACCACTTGAGCCACCGCAGCTCCATATTGTAATTACAATATGTAATTACACATATACTAATAGTAATTACACATATACTAATTTAATTATAGTCACAATTTATTTTTCCTTCATTTTATTTGAAATATATTAATATAACCTTGATATGTACTATAATACAGCCATTTTGGAAAACAGACTATTTCGCAGCCCTCAGTTCTTCATCCTTATGCTATTTTACAGATAGGAAACTGATGCTAAGAGAAAATTACTTCTCTTATGACAGGGGTGGCCAAGCTTGCTTAACATAAGAGCCACATAGAATAAACATCAGATCTCTTGAGAGTCGCAAGACATGAACAAATATTACACATTTTAATTGGAAAATAAGCAGATTTGCTTTTTATTAACATTAAATGAGACTGCCAGAAATAAAAACAAAAGGGGTAAAAACAGATATTGATAATGATATTTATTTGTCTGCTAATGATATTGGTTTAAGAGACAGAAAGAGAGAAAGAGGTAGAAAGAAAGAATGAAAGAGGTAGAAAGAGAAAGAGAAACAAAGAAAGCAAATAGATGGGGGAGAGAGGGGGGAAGGAAGGGAAAGAGAGAGAGAGAGAGAAAGAGCAAATAGGTGAGGGGAGGGGGGAGAGATGGAAAGAAGGCAACTAACTTTAAATGCGTCCTCCAAGGCCCCCCCCTCCCTCCATGCCAGCTGACTTCTCTTGGA